ATGTGCAGTAATATAATATAGGGGACGGGCGGTTTTTTGAACGTGTTATGCATCAATCAACAGATCAAAATATTCCGGCATTTCTATATTATACGCTGTTTGCCATTCATAGTTACTGATATTTAATTAATAATTATAATTAATTTGATTTATTTACGATATTTAATTACGTTTGGAAACTTCTAGAGGGAACGTGTTACATCGTACGCTGAAAACCGTAAAATCACATTGCAATCGAACAAATAATTTCATCGAAAAAAACAGGGGCTAGGTCCGGGCCAAGCTAATTTTTATTTGACATTTTTGGCGTGTAAAAATGAAGTTAGTAATAAACGTATCTGATACGATTTGTTAATATTAGTAATTACTAATCACGTCCGACTGGCAGAATATCAAATGGCTGGTATTGAGTACATCTAGACATGGCTTAGGATACGTATAATGGTACATCGAATTGTCTCATCGGTGGAAGTGACGCTTCCGTATTGTCTGGGGTTATTATTCCATCAATAGTATGAATTGAAGTATCGAAGTACGAAATTAGGTGTCAAATTTAATTTTCAGTAATAACAGTGATGTAGTACTGTACCAGACACGCTGACAACGTGCGCGATTCTCTATCTAGGAAATTATTACGAACGAAAACCGCTCTCGAAAAAAAAAATCCCGCGTGCGCTACTGCGGGTATTTTTAATTAATTTTATTGCGGAGAGTGAATAAGCGACCGGACCTAACACAAAGGTTGATTTCCCGTGCGCCGAATATCGCCGGACCGAATATTCGCTGCGGGTTATTATAATCTGTTGTGCTGCACCGAACGCGACGGACCTATCCAAATATTTTGATCCGGACACGCCGACATTGTACGATACGAATGCTCGGCCTGGACGGACTTTATAGGCTTTTGAACGCAACACGACGGTGTAATTCACACTGTACGGTGTACCCACTCGCAACAAATCAATAAACTCGTAAACTCTCGTACCGCGCGCGCGTTAACAATACGACATTTTCGTTAAACGGCGCTGCGAGTACCTATACACCCGAGTCGTACGTACGTATTTACGTTCTGTTTGGGTTCCGGCGACGACCGTAATAATATTATATTGCAGCTACACCGTTATTATAATACTGTTTAACACATTTATATTATATTTTAGGGTTTCGGGTATCGTAAATCAATCGGCGTAAACGGTCTGTATTACGGCATTATTGTGTACACCTACTTACATATTATTATTACTGCCCTCGCGACCGTGTTTTATGATTTCGGACACGATTTTATTGTAAATCCGGACCGTTAAAAATGCGTTTATAAAACGCGTTTCGTATTGCCGCGGCACTCTGTACATAAATACGTGACTTTCGATTTTACACCGCGTCGTCAATATTATTCGATTTCCGCCGAGATTTCCAATGTGTCGACAAGTGTGATAATAAACGATCAATGCCTGCAGAGTTCTCGCCAACATCTCTCGGCCGTGTAGGTACAATATTAAAATATTATTTATAAAGCGATTCGTACACGCTACGAAAAACGTTTCGATAAAATATCAAATACAAAGGCTGGGCAAGTTAACGTTTTTTTTTTTTTTTTTTTTTCAATTCGGTTAAGTTAATTTAAATTAAAATTCATAAAAAAAATTAACAATTTAAAGTTAATTCAAAATAATCTACCAATTCAACCAAGTTAGATGTTAACCAAAAGTTGAAATTAACTTTTTAACTTAAGTTAATTAAGTTTTAAAAAAATGTACGTATATTACCTACTATAATGGCCTAAAAATCTACTTTCAACCCCTAACCGGCGATAACAGTAAAAATAGAGCTGATACTGAAGATAAGAACGACCACTGTTGTAAGTGAGGAACTGGGAATGTAGGATACATAAGGTCATATCATTTATATTTGTAAGAAGCGATAAACCATTGCTTGACGAAAGACGATTCCGAGCGCAGTTCAGTAATACATAATTTTTGCGATTTTCGTTTGGATTTGATTCCAAAACGCTAATTAAAAAAAAAAAGTCGTCCGATGATTTTTGAAATTTTCCCACGTCTAGGTAAGTCCAATATAAGTGTTATTACCAAGTTTCAAGTATCTAAGTGTATTTATAACCGAATTACACCAAAACAACGCTCGAAAATAATTAAAATTATTTAAAAGCTCAAAAGTTTTAGTAATAATACCATTAGAAAGTAAATTAAAAAGACAACAAAAAAGAATCTTGTAATTTTTCGATTAAATTATTTTTTCTAGTAGAAAACGTCGCAATTCTCATTAATATTCGAGATAATGAGGAAAACCCCGGTCTTTAGGTTAAAAAAGATTGAAATATTAAAAATATTGTCATTGGCAGTAGTTTTTTTTATTTTTTATTATTATTAAGTTTTTAGTATTTTAATTTTTGTTGAACAATCATTGTTGTCATGGAAACGAACATAGTAATCATTTTACAAACATATTACGTACATTTGAAATTGTTGACAAAGCAACACTATCAACTGAACTCTGCTCTGAATCGTTTTTTCATTATCAATGATTAACGTTGCTTACAAATATACATTAAATTGCCGTCCGTATCCTAACTCCTCAACTTCCCACCTACATAAGTGGCTGCACCCACGTGCGAAGCATTTCCGTCCTTTTATTTTATAAACATACAGATAAAAATTGAAATCAACTTAACTTATTTCAATATAAAATTAAATCTAGTCAATTGAAAACTGATTTTTTTGTGTTACTCAACTTAACAATATTCACTTAATAGTTCAAAACAAATTAATGTATAAAATTAAAAAATTAGATTAACCTAACTTTCACTGATTAACTCGTTAATTCCCAGACTTGATCAAATATTTACATATACATATATATTTAAAGAAACGTTATTTCGAAATTTGATTTTTCTCGCTATTTTCGTAACCATACACGCGCTCGGAACTAAATCGGGGTAGCAATTATTCGAGTTATACGTATATCACACATCCTGTCCGCTAAATCGCAACAAATCAATGCCTTCAATAACTAAAATCCGTGAACTATAATTATCGTTTTTCTTTACGATTTCGCGATTTCTACGACGCATAATGTGTAGGAATATTTTTATGCGTCCGCCGCCGTCGGCCCGAAATTCCGGGGGCGGGGGGGGAGGGTGGTTGTGACATCTGCTATACCGAGAAACCGCTGATTGCTATTATAATATTGTCGAAATCCGTATGCTATTAGTTTCGCCCGCGTCGCGGCTACCGGCTCGCTATTGGTTTATTCTCGGATTCAACGACAATACGATTTGTTTCAAGACGAGTTATTGAACAGTAGAAAAAAAAAAAAAACAATCACCTTTCCAGCGATAGAACACGACACGTTGACGATAGTATTCGTCGCGCGTTACACCTATTACCCGCCGTTGCTCTTCCGCACACCGCGGACGGCTGTAACCTAGAGATTGCGAATATAAAACGTCTGTTCAACAATCCGATTTCAACGTACCTATTATAAAGGCGCGCGGATTTACGATCGATAATTCACGGCCGCGCGTACAAAAATAACGCGGCGGACGAGACACGTCGACGTTGTTTGCGCCCGAACAAACCGGTCGAAACAATAAACGGATCTGGCCGAACTGGACGCGGCCGATGCGCCCGTATTACACCGCGGCAGCAGTTTGTACCGATAATAACTCAATTAGCTCCTCGTACGGCTGTAAAACGCGACGGGACGGGATTATTAAAATATTCTTCGAATTCACGCCGAATTACAATACTGACAATACGGACAAGACAATGCAATATTGTTTACAGGGAAGTGAATTTCGTTTATGCGCGTACGCCCGCCAATTTATTATAATATATTTTTTATACGAATCTGGGCACCGAATTTGCAGTTTATATTATTATTATTACGAGTACACACAGAATCGAATGATTTTTTTTTTTTTTTTTTCTGTTAGCGTGTTGTTCCCCAATTGCCTCGTAAACCACGTCTTATTTTCTTTTTTCAATAACATCACCTGTCATTCGATTTCTTCCACTGCACCGACGATTGTATTATATTAGAAAACGAAAAAAATCTATTAAAAAAAAAAAAAAAAAAAAAACCAATTTGTTTGGCTCGGATAAGTTATAACGAGATCGAGCTGCCTCGTAGCCCAACTATAATATAGATTCGCTCCCGCACAAAACGTAAAAATTTGAATTTCATTCAGTAGGTATACCGGTAAAATCGAATTTCCTAATGTATACATCTATATTCTTCTTCTTCTTCTTTTATTAACAGTCCAAAGGCTGGTGGACAGCGATTTCCACTCCTCGTGCTTCTTCGCTTCTCCTTTTAGTTCATAAGACGATCTGCGGTCAGTGACTTTTAATATTTGTCTGATTTCATTTCTGCAGATGAGTCTTCCTCCATAGATAATCCTGGTAAATCCGTTTTTATTTTGTTATTAGATTTTATCACGGGACAGATTATGAAAAATACTTATTCGGTGATAAATTCGGTTAGCAACGTCCGCGTATTATTATTGATATTCATTTTCTATTAATTTTATTTTATTATTTTTCTATATATTCTGTATCCGATATCTATATGAAATAATTAACAAAATTCGGTACTGTCACATAGTAAAATTAATAAATTCCTCGGTAGACTCGGAATCTAAAAATCACAAATACCAATAAAAATAAAAACAACGTTTGTTTTTAAAATATAATATATTACACATTATTATTATTTTAACAATTTTATACAATCAAAGCGTAATATACATAATATATAAACTAATTAATTTAGTTATTATGCGATTGCGGCGAAAGGGCGTTAACCGTTTACAATAACTGTATTTCTCTCATCTGGGAACTTGGTTTGAAACATGCTGTCATTCCCTAAGAACTGACATGTTATCGACAACCTTGCCCATAATATAATGATCCAAAAATTAATTATAGAGAAAGTAAACAGAAACACGAAAGTGACTTCCAAATCGAAGAGCCGGGACCGACTCGAGAAGAAGTTCATAGTCTTTAGCTTTGGAACATACGTGCTGCTGGCACGCCAGTGGCGGTGGGTTACATTGAACCCACCGCCATAAGCCTCCCACCCACCCGGTGCCAAAATAAATGCGGACGGTGTCGGTGGCACCTCCGACGCCTTCGAGGATCGAAGTGATACCGTCCGCATATTGGTAGAAGCCGTCAAAAGCTGACTACACAATTTAATGTGCAATATAAAATTTTAAAAAAATGAAAAAATAAATAATAATAAATATACAAAAAAAACAAAACTCAAAAACAGATAACCTAATCTAACGTTAAACGCACAAAAAAAAACAAAAAAAAAAACCACAATCTAACCGACAACTAGACATCGAAGACGGTCATCGGCCGGCGGATGAATGGTGGTTCATCACCTTTGCGCGAGACCGTTGAAATATTTAACTAGGTCCCGAACCGTACTGGATCTGATCATTACGAATCTCCAGTCGTTTGGCCCCGCGACCACGTCGGCGTCGCTGGTATCGTCAGCCCGTGCTCCGGTCTCTAGATCGGACACGGGTTCGATCTCGGTTACGGTGCTGGTTATGTCGTTATCGTACATAAATTCCGCGTCTTCTTGGCCTGACGACGTGGCGTTGTGGGACGCGGTGTTTATTCCACTGTCCCATCCCGGGGCGTCCGAAATCTCTTTCTTTTCTTCTTGTCCGACGTAATCCACCGGTGTTTCTGCAACTTCGCGGCCACTGGAAAGACCCTGCAGAACGTGGCGAATAGCTTCTACCACCACCGGCTTCAAGAAAAATGCGATTGAAAGCATAGCGAGCGAATGCAGATTCAAAGCAGTAAAGAAATATGCTACTATATCTCAAGAGTTTATTAACGATGTAGCTAATAAATTCAGTCGATATAACAATGAACCGTTTTCAATCGTACACTCGTCCGGGTGTACCGTGGAAACGGCGACCTTTGGATACGCGGTTTGTTTATAATCGGTCAACACGAAACCCGGTTTCGCGTGAAAAACGACAATATTATTATTCAATCGGCGCGCTATTCGTATTTTCGCCGTTTTTTTTCCCGCACGATAATTACGTTATCCTCGGTTCCTGCGGAGGAACAAAGCTTTCGAGTCGATTTCGTATACACCACTGTCCTCGACACGAGCAACGTTTATAATTGAATGTAAGACTTGTGCGTGTTTTTTCCCGGTCTATCGGGGTAAATAAAAAAAAAACTCCCTCCTCAATAGGACCTCCTCCAGAAAAAGTGCACCCCACACACTTGTAAATCGGAGCAAGATTTTTGGTAAAATAATTGTTTAAAGATAAAAAAAAATAAACATTGTAAAACTAATCCGTCCCTCTCAGAATACGAAATCTAACTTTGTCTCGGGGTAAGAAGCATAAGAAACGAGTCAGTTTCTTACGCTCATTTTTTTTTTCAGTAACAACCAATAATATAATAAGTTCTCTGCCCTACTAATCACAGTTATACGCGTTAGTTATCAATGGTTTCACAAGCCGGCTATACGAATCCGGCCTGTACTTAACAGACTACTATAGTTATTATTATTATTACCGTCTCCAGCGGGACTGACGATAAAAATTATAAAACACTGCGACCGATCGGCCCGATAAAATATTATACACACCGACGATCGCGGTAATCGTTTTTATTTTGTTATTAGATTTTATCACGGGACAGATTATGAAAAATACTTAATAAAAAAAAAGGTGTCAACACATTCCGGCAGCAACGTCCGCGTATTATTATAAATATTAATTTTCTATTAATTTTATTTGATTATTTTTCTATATATTCTGTATCCGATATCTATATGAAATAATTAACAAAATTCGGTACTGTCACATAGTAAAATTAATAAATTCCTCGGTAGACTCGGAATCTAAAAATCACAAATACCAATAAAAATAAAAAAAACGTTTGTTTTTAAAATATAATATATTAAACATTATTATTATTTTAACAATTTTATACAATCAAAGCGTAATATACATAATAAAATATAATATATAAACTTATAAGATCAGTTATTATTATGCGATTGCGGCGAAAGGATGTTAACCGTTTACTTTTGATTTACGATGACGGGAATTGAAAATTCCAGCTTCAAAATCAAACTAACGCTTAATCTATTTACGGATTTTTTTTTTTTAATTCGGAAATCAAAAGCGGGCAGTGGTTTCGTAACCCCCCTCCCCTAAAATTAGAACAGTGTAACGTATCAACATAATGGTATTCATTTGCGAAAAATATTACGCGTTTTTCATGGAACGTTTCGTACGTACATTTCCACGACTCCGTGCGTATAGGGTATAAACGATATAATGTTATTATTGTAGTACGAGTAGAATCGCTGCGATACGATGGAAAAAAAACAAAAAGAACCGACGGGACTGCAATATTACATTTAACGCGTGTAGGTACCTGCGGCGACCGTACATACACGAGAAATGAAACACGGATGCTAATGATATGATTTTGTTCCGTGATTACAAACAGTAATAATAACAATAATAATAATGTGGATTGCGCAGAAACGCGTCGCGGTGAATACGAAAACCGCCGGCGAATGCGTGCAGCGGTAGAGATAATCACGCTAAACGCAATATGATAACGATGATAACGGGAACCCTTTTCATTACGGTATACGGGCAAAAGTACGCGACTGTATATAGTACAGAAAAAAATATATATTAAAATTAACCTTTATAACGATCGTATTTAATATTTTGTACGTACGTGAGCGTTGCGCACCGAACCCTACGCGATATAGCGACGACGGACGCCAGAGTCGTTTAGTACCTACACGGTTATGGCGCGGTAACCGTGATAACTATAATATTGCATGTCCTGTACCTATGATACGGAATCGTATAAATTATTATTATTGTTATTTTTTACATTTTTTTTTTTTACGTTTATTAGGATACCTGTAAATAAATTATACAATTACAATATAACCATAAAATGCATATGAGTATATTACGGGCGTGATGAGAGCATTATTTGACAAGAGTTGTTTTTTTTTATTTTAATTTATCGTTAAAGTTTAACCATCTAAATTTAGGTAAACGTAGTAGAATTACATATAGAACTATAATTTTTGGCGTTTGTACAACGGATAGCGACGGTTAACGTTAAATTTGTAGATTTTACAGTCGCCTCGAGTATAGTTTCCCCGCAAAGGTAACGCTAAACTCGACGGATTATTATTATCACTTAAAGTCTTTATATTGTGCCTACGTAAGGTCCATTTCGGAATTCGGATGTTTGGGATCCTTCATGTGGGAGTGAGCAAATTGAAAGGGTTCAAGTCAAATTCCTTAAGTATGCAGCTTTCGTTTTAAATATTGAGCATCCTCCTCGTGATTATTGTCTAGTTTTATACAAGCTTGGTTTATATTCCTTATTAGCTGATAGGAGGCAAGTTGCTAATCGTAATATTCTCAACCAACTAATAGATAACTGTGTTGACTTTCCTGTTTTCCTATTTTTGATTAACTTTAAAGCCCCTTCAACTTCTGTTCGTCACATATATCCATTTTTATAGTTTATACCTGAGTGCAACACCAATTATTCAATCTTCAGAATGATGCGAATGGCAAATAATGATCCATCATCTTTTTAGTATTTTGTTATATATTTATTTGTTGTTTTTATATATTTTATATGGTATTGTTAACTATGTGTTATCGGGCTCAGCCCGTATTGTTGTAAATAAAAAAAAATGTAAACACCCTGTTTCATTTATATGTAAAAACGGACTAGGCAGCCGTTAAATTTTGACAATTTCGATCTCGTCCAAAAGTATAAAAAACAAATAAAAAGTTGAAGACTTACCATCAATGCGTTTCGATTTTCTATAATATTACACAATCGTCCAAGTATAGGTATACTAATGCATTTTTTTTGTTTGTATTATTTTCTAGGTGTTTGTGGCAACTCATTCCGGAAATAAATTGGTAATCGCGGGGTAAGTGCGTGTGTCGTGTGTGTTTTTAAGTTCTACGGTCCTCGTTCGATGTCTTGTACCCACGACCATTCGGGTAAGTATATTTATAGAAAACAGTGCAGAGCCGGGGATTTACGACTGAATATTAGAAAAAAAAAAAAAAAAGGTAAGTACTTTAAAACAATATTATCAATATTATCAATCGTAAATAATTTTATACAGCCGCAATATAATAACATCAGACAATACTGCGTGTAACGCTGTGTTTTATTGTAGGTTGCCTATACAAACCCCTAAAAATGTTAGTATTTTTTTTTTTTCTTCGTGATAAACCGATCTGTTGCCAATCGATGACAATAATTATTACTATAGCCGAGTAATTCAAAATTCAAATAGTCAGTTGGCTTTTCGTTCATTTGTATATTTTCTTAATTTTTAAACGAACCCTCTAATCCTATTGTAGCCTATGTTATATTATTTACAATAAAACGTTATATAAATGTTTTGAGTGTCAAGAATATAAATACATATGTCGCGTAAACAATTTATCAAGCTCTTTAAAGTGATAAGGAATACAAATTTAAATAGTTAACCGTACAAAATTCGGGTACATTGTGTCGGGTTTCGGTAATAATTTGGACAGACTTTTGGTACACGTTCGTAGATTTCCTCTGGGGTTTTAATTAAACTTAAACTTTACAACAGACGCATTTGCAGTACGATTTACATAGCAACTAGAATTATTTAGTATATTCGCGAGTACCACGGTGGACGAAGAAAACGCGTACCTCGCAGGCCGTGAGACAGCAAAGTCCTATATATTTGCGGCGGCGCAGTATCAAGACAAATGTTTTATTTATTGTATTATTATTATAAATTAACATAAGATTATTGTATTTTATCTTTTTCCGATTTTCCCGCACTTAAATATTATGTAATATATTAATTAGGCTTGTCGCCCCCGTCTCCCTCTCCGGGATCGCACGAAAACTCGTTTCGATCCGGTGCTTTATATTTTATCGCGCAAATATTTCAGCATCGTTCCCGGTGTGCGCCTGCTACGGCGGAGATAACGCGTAAAATATCGTTTTCTCTCATTTAAGTTAGTCGAAACGCGCACCTACCGGTTTAAGAGAGAACAATGTTGCGCTGTTAGCTTGAACGGTGGAGTGAATTGACCTATTATTATCAAACTTATAAAAATACGTGACACGAGTATGCGAAATAAAATATTGAAAGTATAGCGCCGACGTTGTACAGATAAGACAATGTTCTAGTCTTTAAGTTTGACAATCGGATAATCCACTTAGATATTAAAACTAATAGCCCAAAGTCGACTCCGTTTAACGCGAATTCGCTACGTCGTACGTCTGTCATATGGTATCGTATACCGATAAAATACAATAACTTTACACGAATTGTCCTCAGTCGCCTTTGACTCGACAATTTATTCGACTGTCGGCATTTCGAATATTACAGTCGAATCCCACCATTACCTACTGGTTCGCCAACATTATTACTTTGTTCATTTTTCTCGTTGTAAACGCGGACACGTAATTCACATAGTTTTTTTTAACCCAATACCATGTTAATTTTGACTTTTAATAAATAAGCCGTGTACCGTATACGCGAACAAAAACGCTTTTCCCCTCTGACCCAAACGAGAGAATACAGGTGGCCGAAAGAATATTGCCACATTTGAAGTTATGTTCTATACTTGTTTTTCCGTGTATCTGCAGACGTACAGGCAAAACAGCCGATTTACGTTTTGTTTTATGGCGGATTTAAGATAGTTTACTCCTCCTCATTTATTCTATAAGGTGACACAGAAAGAAATAATGCAAATTCGGTCAGTGGCAACTACCCTATATTCAAGGAGGTGCTCAAGCACCCCTACAGACGTGGGGTGGTAGGCCATAGATAGGCCACCTAGCTATAGATAGTAGGTACCTTATAGACGTATCGTAGTTATATCGTAGTTAGAGGCTAAAGGATCTTATGCCAATCAGATGTGACTTTGTAAGCGTGATATTCCATTATATCCCGATGAAATTCTGCATCATTTTTTACAAAAAAAGTGTTGTTCTAACCAAGAAATTAGTCTAATTCCTTTCCTTGGTCAACACAACACATAACTAAATAACAATATTATTATGTAACAATATAATAGTTAAGATAATTTATTCGTATTTTTTTTTTAAGTATTATTAATAATTTTCACTATCGGTTTTGTTTTAATTTGTTTAAATACATAGGTTTGTTATTTGTTTAAAAAAATCTAAATCTCATGATTGCTCTCAAGGTCCGTTAAACCTACATTTTAGAGATTATAAAATCCTTATAGTGATTAATAGATACTCTTAATTTGAATGAAGGTTTTATAATATGAGTATTGTAAGGTAGTGGCGGTGTTGTTACAACTTTATGAATTGATCAAACAACTATAAATATATTTCAGACAGACGCCACAGAATGCAGCTAACGCGGTACTGGTTTTACCGCCAAATTTAAAATATTTATATAGTTATAATATTCTATATTCTGCACATGACTCCGTTTAAATAATATTTTAATTTTTTATAACCGACTGGTTGTATTAGTATTCAAAATATATTGAAAAACTATCGGTTTTTTTTTTTTTTTTTTTGTTTTCGATAAACACTCTCGCTCTCTGTGTAATGGAAATATGGCACGTCTCTGTTGGTAATATAGGTGAGCGATGCACGCCGATTAACGATTATTTGACGACCGATTCTCTTTAGCATTAATATGTTTATCGTTATTACAAAACCGGCAATAATAATATAATAATAATATTATTGTTGTATTTTCGCACGTACGAAAATATTATTATGATTATAAATATTATATTATACAAGTACCTACTCCAGACGGGTTTTTTTTATTTTAAGCGCGATATAAACGTCACGACGACGATGTTATTATTATTATTATTATTACTTTGTGTTGCATCTATTTTACACTTTATATTATAATATTATTACACTAATATAATAATATAACGTAATGTTATGTATAGTTATAGTTCTGACGTTTTCGCGTGCTCGAACAACACTTTCTTCGCGAGTTATTATATAGGTACCTCCATTTTTTTTTTTTTCTTTTGTTCGAATATTTCGTTTAAACCGAAAACCGTTGCCAAAACACCGCTGCACCGGCCGGATAATATTATTATTCTCGTTATTTTCCACGCTTTTTATTTTTTTTTATCGCGTCTAAACAACGTACAACGACGACGCACTAATAATAATAATAATAATGAAAAAAAAAAAAAAGCATATTAGCAGTGGGGATTTAATAAAATATTATATGTACATATAAGTTTTACGACGACCATTCGCCTCTTGTTTATATTCGATACTTTTTATCCGCGTATATAGTGTGTTTATAGTACGGCGTATGTGTGTGTGTTGTTTTTTTTTTTTTACGATTTGTTTCGTCTGCAATACAGCATAACTATAATATAATAGTAACTATATCGCACCGATACGACCGGCGAATTTTTCCCGTAACATATTATTCTAACGATACAATAATCAGTTTTACGATGGTTTCGACACGGTTCGTGAAAACGAAAACCAACAAAAAACAACAAAATGTTATTTCGATATTTTACAAAAGCTTATAGGCATCCGGAGCTGCGCCACGTCATAATAATATGCCCCGTCGTCGTCGTCGTTCTCGTCAGAATCGACATGCACATACGGTAAGTTTTATGTGTATACGGAAATGATAATAATTCGCTTGTCCAGCGTCTTTTTAGTCGCAGCTTTTTCGGCTTCGAAACGCTCGTTTCCTGTTGTCGCGCAAGGATGTGGCTTTAAAATAACAATTTAGATACTTTGTAACGGTTTAATGCGTAGACAATGTATTTAGATGACATTTAAAAAAATTTTATCCGTAGACAATAGTTAAGATAACGTCCTTTTATTTAGATAAAAAACAGATAAATGCTTAGTTTTAATAGGTTTTAAAACCCAGCATGAAATGTAGAAACTGTAAATAGTAGAATTTAATTTTTTTTCCTTATGTATCACCCGTTCGATAATGAATTATGATTTACGTTTTAATATTAATTAATTAATTTATTGACTATTAAAAATGATTAATAAATAAAAAAACATTACATTTCACCATTCATGACAGTCGCCGCCAAATAAGAACAACTTAATAAATATTGTAAATTCGTGTGCTAAGTATATCAACCCATACTTATCGTTTAAAAAATGTTTTTTACTTAACACCGATTATTATTTAACATCTTCAAATGAATACATTACGATACATAAATTATAATTACAGCGAATAATAAAGTAATAAGCAATTATACTTCGAGAATTACCGGATTTCAAAAATCGACAGTCAAAAACGAACAAATCAAAAGTCACATTAATCCGATTGCGATCTGGGAAGCCGATCGAGTTCCGTTCGGTGAAAAACAGTCGAGATAGTATCGAAAGTAAACAATATCGAAAGCGTACCGGTTAAAAAAGAGAGTTGCCCGCGTATAATGTCGCTGTACAGAGAACATATTTTTCTCTTCTGAACAATTTTCACACGCCCCTTTTTTTATCCCCTTTGCTCTCTTCAGATCGTCTTGGCGAACGTTCGCAGTGAAATCTCTGTACATCGACGATATTCTCGACAATAACATAATGTAATACTTTGCACCTTCGGTCTCGTTCCCGTATCGCTGCGCGTCTGTCGCGCCACGCGGTTATTCGCATAATATTATAATGTGCGCGGTTTTTTTTTACTTTTTATTATTTGCATTTATACGTCCGCCCGAGCACAACGACGGAGGTGTGGCGTGCGTGTGTGCTATCGAAAGCTATCTCTCTCTCTCTCTCTCTCTCTCTATCTATCTAGCTATAAAAATACCATAAACGAGCGAATTTACGACGACACACACCGGCGAAACGCTTGCCAATAATACGAGTATAATTTTTTTTTCGTTTTTACACACACGTCGCACCCGTATTATAATATAATAATTATTAGACGTCGTACACGTACGACAGTAGGAACGGAGACCAGCCGTTGGCCCGTGTGAATCGCCACGATAATTACTTTTTATGATAATATTCCGCGGAAACGCGATAAATCAATAATATAATATACGCGAACGGGATTCGCGATGCGTTTTTAAATCGCAATTAATTTTGTGTCGCGGTGTCGTTACGATTGTACAGTAACGCGGTCCGCGCATAATAATACCATTCATTGTCAGTGACAGTGCCAGAATATTATCGTTATTTACGGTGACGCGTACGTTTGGTTGCCTACGGGCACGGCTCGTCCGTCGTGTATACGGAATGACGGGTGTATAATATTATTTTTTTTTACTCGTCGACCGGCCGCTGTTGTTCCGACAGATCGCCGTGAGTCGCATCGTGTACAACATTTGAATACGAATGTCGGCCTTTCAGCCGATTATTACCGTGTCCGTAATCGAACCGCGAGGACAACGTCGACGTTGACCATTTAATTTTACTCCGTAAGGCTTAGTCGTTGAATAATGTGCGTCTGTGTGTGTGTGTGTGTGTGTGCGTGTGTGCATTTATCGTTATCATTTGATTTCCATTCGGTAGCAACGTCAGTGTGGCCGGACCGGCTGTCGTTTGTGACACTCGCAAAATCTGCACGATACAGAAAGAGTTTTTCGGTCGAAACGAATCCGCATAATATTCGCATCGCCGCCGCGTGGTCACGTAGCCGATTTGTTCCGAAATCAAATACGCGATTTAAAAACGTTGACGACGATATTTCTAAAACAAAAAAAACAAAACAAAAATCATTCCGCAAAAACGCAAAAACATAATATTATGTAATCGCGCGTTTAAAATTGTCGCGATATTAAAAATGTACGCGCGGTCGCTTCGTGACAATTGAAATTCAACGTCTGCTGATCCAAACGCTCGAATATCATCATCCGAACAACGATGTAATATGATAATCTTATCTACGTTACATATTATGCAGATAAAAATATATTACTTCGTTCTAAAGTTCGGCGCGAAACGGTTTTTTTTTTTTTTTTTTTTTATCGCGCGCGCAGTATTCGGTCGTAATCTCACATCATATTATTATTATTATTACCTTACCTTTTTACTAATATACAATACAATATGTTATACCGGGTGTACACAGTAACCTAATAAGAATTTTTTTTTTTTTTATACATATACAATCTGTGTACCTATCATAAGCAAAGTGCAAATATTTGTCTGCGTCCGTGAACTCGATTTTGCGATCAGTTCATAGACTTACGGGGTTATTTCACTAATCGGAAATTTCACGAGAGGTGTACACGGGTTCGCAGGAATTACGTCTATGATCCCGGAGACACGAAAAGAGCCTGAGTCGATTTTGTTTATTTTTCAATTTCATAGTGGATTAAATTTTCGAAATCACTAAACGGCACAATGGCGTAAACGACGGAATTACCCAACGGCCCATACGAGCGTTCTAAACAACTCGAGTCATATAACTCTACGACTTGTGCCTTTTTCGCCAGACAAAAAGGGCACCGTAGTTACTTAAGATATACGACGGTAGAAAAAAATTTCCGAAAATTGGCTTGAGCCATTCTTCCCAACGGAACCAAATAATAATATATTGTATAAAGTAGCAGGTGCGTCGCGGAAAATGAGGTAATTCATTTCGAAACCCTTCGTATAGTTTGTTTCCCGATAATCCGAGCGAGGGGAAACACTCTGAACAGAACGCGCACTATAAGTGACAGCGGTAGTAATGTAAAATGGATTTTTTTTTTCGTAATTATCAGTTATCAGAAACTTTTAGTACCGTTTGTTTTAATAAATTAAATTCTTATCGTCATTAATATTATGCGCGAATAGTGCGGTTTATGAGTGTGTGTATAGTGTACATACACGTATCTGATGTAAAAATGCGATATAAACAAGTGTATAGTATGGAAAAACGGCTGCACTCGGGTGGAAAAAAAATGAAAATGAA